AGCGGTTGTGACCACTCTTCAGTCACCGATTATCCATCTAGCCTCACTTTTCAAATTCGTCTCACAAGTTTCTACTACTTCTACTTTCAGGATACCGTTGATTGATCGTAACTTCGTGTAGGAATCGGTTTGTATCGGCTGTAGTGCACTTCCTTCCTTGGCATTTTTGTGGTGCTCCCTCAGAACCGCTTGGGTGAGCCTTCAACATCGGGCATGCTACCTATCTGACACCAATTCGTGTATATGGGGCGATTGTGTGATTCGTTTTCATTCTACCCCATTGATGACTGATTTTGTTGGCAGTGTTCGTCATAGCTGGGAGTGCATCTTTCGTAAACATTACTGAAAGCAATGCAACTGAACGAATGCATATCCCACATACTGTCTCTGCTCTCATTGCATTTGATGGCTGCGATGTGTTTCCTGTTGATTGCCCAGCCAAATTCCTCGGTAGCGTCATGTTTATCGCGTACGTTAACAGGAACTGGTGTTGCGCAGACGTTTGTTTTGAGTTTTCTAAGCGGACGAACCTCGCTTCCTAAGCAATGCAATGGGTCCTGTTTACAAACACGCCTTGTATTCTATACTCACTCACTGCGCTTGTCCATTACGCTGAACCCACTTAGATTTCTTTGTATCAGAGTGTGTAACCTTAATAGATCAGATCGGTCCTTCTTTGGGCTAAAAACCTCTGGCATATCTCCAACAAGTCTCAGCTTGACTGTGTTTGTACACAGCATCAACGTCTTTGCTACACACAAGCATTCTTCACTCAGCTTTTTGAAGCGCTGCATTTCGAATATCTCCAGCGGTCTACTCAAAATCGAACCATCGTTTTGTCGTTGGACCAATTTCGCTGTTTCCAAGGCAGAGGTGCTGCTCATTCGATAACATTATCCCACTAAGGAAAATGCTTAGTTCCACCGCAGTTCCAATTTTCTGTAATCCTGGTCCTTCAGCACAATGTAAGCAACTGACCAGGCTTTTGAACTTCTGTTTCAACGTATGTTGTTCTGTTGAAACAGTCCACATTAAACCTTCCCTTTCGGGAGTCCCTTTGGCTGAAGAGGAGCAGCGTTCAAGATTTGACGACGCCTGAACGTCAAGTGGCTGGCCGTTCAGATGAAGGCTGAGCAGGATTTACGTCGACATCCGGTTTCGGAAGAAGGGCCCACAGACAGCTTTGCAATAATGGATTCAAGTCATTCTCTGATGACATTGAGCCATTTGTGAGCTCAATTTTTAGTGCTCTAGGTGTAAGTAGTTGAACCGACGCTCTAACGGCAAATGCTGTTGATGTTCCAAGTGAAGCCAAACAGTTTGTGGTCCCGATATTGTGTAATTACTACTGAAGTTGTGTTCAGATATCCTCAGCGAAACTGTGTTAGCTCTGTCAAGTCAGCGGAGGTGAAAAGTACCAGACTGCTGGAAGGCAGTCACGATAACTCATGTGCCCAAGGAAGAGACCTATAAATGTCGAGTGAATACCTGCACATCACAGCGATGATCAGCCGTGTTCGAACAGTTAAGCCTGGAGGTCACGAGTTCTCAAAACCCTGGGGTTTTGTGAGACCCTCACTGCTGATGATTCTAAATAAGGATGAAACAGCTGTGTAGTGCTTCTTGGCTTTTCAGTACAGTGTGGCTTCACTTACGGAGCGAAATATCAATTGAAACTTTAAAAGTTGTCTGCTTCCATTAAGACTAAATTTCGGACAAGCGCACAGTCGCGCCCTACACCGAATCCTCTGGCATATCGTTTGCATTTGGCTTCTTCAGTACCTGACAGAAAGGCCAAAGTTATGGCCTATGCGAACATATATATATATATATATATATATATATATATAATCAGTTATCTCTGTTGCTACAACCTTCCTTGCTTAACGGAATGGATAGTGTTTGGCCAAGCGTTCGCATGACTATTTGCTAGCTGAACCCAGTTTGTATGTGTGGGTAACCGAAAGTCATCACGGCCAACCGAAGCAGCCTTTTCACCAGTCACTATTCTCTCCTTTGTCGTGTATGATCACAGTCTACTTGGTCCTGATTCTTACTGCCGGTGTGGGTCATCATCATCAGAGACAGCAACATCAGTGTTGGTATTGACGCTTCACTGTCGTGCACTCTGGGAGTTTATTTGATTATACTTAAACCCTCATAGTGGAAAGGGAAATGAATGGGTGAGGGAGAGGACCTGGTGCTCATCTGTCGCAAGCATTCTGAAGTGATACAACCCCAAGCGCTCAGTCAGACACCGATCAGTCGCCATTTCTTGCAGTGTCTCCACCCATGCGTGGAGGGAGGGGCACGGTGACCTCTTCCTGGAAGGATGATCGCACTAACAAGTTAATTCCTCATAACCTCTTTCACACCCTCTTGCCAAACCGTACGTTGTTCACGTGGATGTTTGCGCTATCCTGGAGGTACGCAAGAGAACACTCGTCTCAGTAGATGGTGTTTCGGCATACATAGCACATGGCCAAACGGCCGCAGTTGATGGTGCTGGAGGTATTCTGCTGATGAAGTACCCAAGCAATTACCCGTTTCCTAATTGCCCAGTTATGAATGTGTCGGCTAAATCTGACACTATCAACGCCTCTGAGACATCGGTGGCCAAAAGCCTGAAAACTCTTCACATCGTCCGTCTGCATAGGCCACGTCTCGCAACCATACAACACTACAGTCGTACACTCGACAACACGCGTAGATGATTAACCAACTAGGATTAATGCCAGTAGCCATCCAGTTACATTAGAGAGGTCTTCTTTGCAAAACCTTTGTTGTGTCGTTTACTTAAAAACGGTTTAGCTCGCAGTGAGCCACTAGTCAGTACTTTTCTCTGATTAGCTATTCAGGTTTTGGAGTGTATTCCCTTTGAGATGAAAAGAGAAAGGCAGGATCGCTTCGTAAGGATTTTGTGGACTATGCACCGCTGCCAAATAACTTAGCGCAATGAAGAAGTTTTCCAGGTTGGGCACCGAATATGCCCTTCAGAATTTGGGTTCTTCTTTCCTCTCATTGTTTCACACCATGCTGTAACTCGTACATCTGCTTTCGGACTCACCTTTGTTAATACAAACTCCTAGTGGTGAAATAGCACATCAGCTCAAAAGTTTTGACCAGTTGTCCTTCGTTTCATTTCATTCACAGTATTATCGGGCGTACTTGGTTCTGCGAGAATGTCTGCGCCTCGATCCTAACAGGTTGGCACTCTATTTCCTTACAACCTCGCTCTGTTTGCAATATCTGGGGTTCATTGAAGATGGACTTGAGCTCGCCACACAGGCTGTGGAGGTAATATTATACACATCTTTATGGTTCCGTCATCTTTTTATGCTTATCGAACTCTATTTCGTTGAACTTCACAAATCAACACCAAGACAGATGACACGATCGATGTTTCCGGTCTTCACATTGAACGGTAACCAGTAGTATTCTGCATTAGTTTGGGTAGTTCTCTGGTTTTCGCGGATACTAAGATACCGATCTGAAGGCAGATTGCGCTACCGATCTTTGCTAATTTTCGAGCTGTGATGGGCGAACATTTCCTACCGTGAAAATATCACGACTTCAAGTAATACTCCTAGGCCATTTAGATGTGACCAGTTTTGATTACTTTCTTCCCCGTAAGGGAAGAGATATGCATGTTTCCGGCAGGTTTATATTCCGTTGAATTTGTTTCTTCCGTGTTTGATTGTCATTGAGACAGTGGGCCCCACATGGATTCAGATAAGAAACACCAAAGACTGAACCACACGGAGTAAAACCCCCTCACTGACCAGTCAATTGATGTCCGTACTTTTTATAATTCCTTCCCTTTGAGATCAATTAATCTGAGAGTATACCAGCCCTGGTGGTTAGTGTGGGTTCTGTCAGTCCTGTACCTAGAGGATATCGCTGCCGATCGATGTCCAGTTTGTACGCTCACTCCACCTTGAGTAGCTGAACGGCATCTTTTTGGCTCTGATTCTGTTGTCCGACTCTTTTTTAACCGAACTGACGCTCCCTGTGACCAGTCGGAGTAGTTTTCCGATTGCTTGAATTCATCGAGAATGTTTAGCTAATCCAGTCTTTCTGTTGACTTTAGGCTTTTCTAAAAATCACTAATTTTTGAAGTACTACTGTGGCATTGAGGAGACCGCTGACTATACAGGATGCTCGGGTGTTCAGACGCGAGCACCTGATGGCTCTGTGGTCGGTTTGGTACTTGGGGTGATACACTAAACATCTTACTGAACAACTAGGTTTGTATGTAAAATTGAACAGTTTGGTGTTAAACATATGCGGTTGAAGTCCCTCCTGGAACTTACTTACAGGTCGCTTTGATTGCCCATGTACTTGATAGTAATTAACTTTTGCCAGTTTTTTCCTGTTGTAACTGTCATTCGCATTTCATTGTCCTCTCCCCTTTCCCCATCCTGTTTGACCTGTCTGTTTATACTTCAGCTTATAGCTAAATATGTTTTATAATCGCCTTTGCTTCAGATTGCATGCAAGCAGGAAGATCGCGTTATGTCGGCCCGCGCTCACCTCATGCTCGGATGGGCCTATTCGCTTCTAGCGCGAAAGTGCCGATTGTTAGAAAGAAAACGGGGACTTCACGCTCAAGCCACTGCGGAGTATAGGAGGTAAACTTTTCTTCGCGCGTCCGTACATCGGTCTAACCCTGCTTGCTATCGTTCCCATACTAGGTAGAAAATCCGACATCACAGTTGACCCTTTTTATGAAGTTCTGCTGTATGGCTCTGCGTTTCTTCTAGACACTCCTCATTCTGTTTCTCACGCTATCCCAGAAAGATGATTATGCATCACAGATTCGGACTGATTCTCAAGTGATTGTCGGTATCGACTGATGGTTTTCTCTCCCAGACGCTATCCAGAGAAGCATCTTACCAACACATCTCACCTGTCTTCATTGCCAGACGTTTTTTTCACACTCGCCCTAATGAGACTTTTCTAGTTCTGGCTAATTCACAGCTCATCGCTTTTTTGGCCCGCTTCACAACGGAATACTACGTCTGTAATCGATGGGATGGTTCTTGAGGCCCTATGCATTTCAGTCATGTGTATCTGTAGGACGGTTTCGGGGGCCACTTCACGTACAGTAACTTCTCACGATAACTGCTGCCGGAGAGGTGTCACTTTTCTGGAGAGTCTACAACGGCGTTTGTCTCCATCCACGATTAACTGTACTGCCCACGCGCCTCCCAAATAAGAACCTCTTCCCAGATGAAAAAAACATATACTCTCTTTCCATCTTAGAAAGAAAAAAAGAATGGTGTGTCGAATGATTGCGTGGATTACGATGAACCATGTTTATCTGATCATATTTAAAAGGTAATGGTTCAGCTGCAACAGCGGCTTTTTATGCTGTCCACCACTTCTACTTCCGGACGACTCGATAACAGCCTGTTGCCTCGTCCGATTGCAATCTCATTCACTGGTTTGTGATGCCCACTGCGTTACCAGATCAGAACCACTGATCGGTGCCACCGTGATTTGACCTCAAAGCGCCTGGATTTTGAATGACAAATGATCTTCTGGCGCTAACACACGGATAAGTCAACTCATTTGGCCTGTTTGTAATGACGTAAGGCGTTTAAACTGATCACCTATATCTCCTGCATTTCGTCTTTCCAATACAATAAGTATACCGGACAACTGACAGGGAGTGGATTTATAAAGCCCTGGTTGTTTTAAAATGTAGACACTAAAGCAGCTGGCAGTGAGCAATTATGTGTGTTTGAGTTGCGTTTTCGTGATTTACTAAACATTTTTTCGCGGAATGCAAGAGCGCCTATCCCAGTACCCGTACCCCGATGGTATTATGTGTACAATTTCCAGTTTCCACGCCATTTTCTGTTATCAACTGGCTACGCGTAACTACTCGTTTGACGCAATTTTCTTCACTGGAAATTTCAAAAGAAGTTTCTGTTTCCAGTGCAACACAACTCGATCCCGATGACTATCTCTCCTGGTATCACCTTGGGGTGGAACTCGCAACTCAAAGACAGCTGGAAGAAGCCCTGGTAGCCTGCCAGAACGGTTTTCGGCTCATGCCTAGCCACAGCGGTACACTCTGCCTTCTTGCATTGCTGCACACATGTGGAGGAAAGCGCATGGATCAAGCGTCGAAGGTCTTGCGTGCTGGCTTGGCCGAGAGTCCAAATGACTTTTTACTTTTGTTCCTGCTGGCCAAAGTAGAGGCGGTCCGGAGCAACACTAAAGCCGGTCTGCTGATGTACAGGCGTTTGTTGGAAGTATGGCGTGACTGCTTTGCTCCAGAATCAGAAAACGGGTAGGTTTCACTGTTTTCTGTCTGCTTCATGAACGAGTCATCCTAACTGGATGGTTTCTATCGCATAGTTTTCCTTATCACCTTGGACAACTGTAAGAGCAGTCTTTTTGAATGTTGAAAACTAGCTCCTCTGATCTGAGGACCGTGAACGGACTCAAACGTTTGAACATCGGTGCCTTTGCAGTAAAACAGGCCTTAGCTGGTTATAGCGTGTTCGTTTGTTCGTTTATTGGGGGTGACATCGCCCAAGTGGTTAGAGCGCGAATTTACTGACCGGAAGGTCCGTGTTTCGAACCCGACCTATGCCTTTCGACTTCATCTGTCTAGGCTTCGGCAACCTGGCAGTATCTCAGCCCTCGTACTTCCCCCGCTGGCATGGCAGCTAGGCACTGGAAAGGTGTTACCGCTAAACGACACCGTGTCCGCACTGAAGTAATGTGAAAGCAAGTACTTGCTGATGAATTAGAATCACTAGAGCAGTAATTAAAACTCACCAGACAGCATTCCCAAACGCCGTCTATCAAAGAAAACACTTTTCGAATCCACACTCTTGTTTTCAAAAGGCTCGCAGGGGATAAGCCATATCTTGGCGATGTGAAATGAACACGCTCACCATCAGATTGAGCGTTGTGAGGTCATTGTCCACTTCCTTGTCTAGGCCCTCATGATTCCCCTTGCACGTTGTTAGGATCCCTGCCGGATGTGACGCGTAGCCGGTCCTAGTTGCTGATATACCATCAATTCGTGGTACGACTGCCTGGCTAACGTATGGTAGACCCATGTTGATTTAGGTCTGCAAAGCACGCTGAGTCCATCCCACTGCTGGTGGCTTCCGTTGATGAACTGCTCAGATTTGTTTATCTTTGCCGTTTATGCTGTAGGTACCGTGTTTTTGATCGTTCTCCATAGAGACGGGTTGTCTGTTGCTGTTGTTTCCAAGCATGCGCCCTTCTTTCTTTCACACTCCTTACTTATACAGTCTTCTTCATGGTTCGGACACAAACACCGGTGTTTACTAGTGGTGTAGTGCTACTGGTTTGTCCTTCCGTGTTAGCCGACTGTTTTGACCTGATTTGACATGGGATATAACCCGGGATAGTCATGCGCGCGTCATCATTCTTCAGAACTTGTTACAGATACGTTTAATGAAGCTGAAATGTAGAGGGGGACAGCACGACACGAAGAGACTGGACCTTATCGTGGTTGAGGACCTAATCGTCCTCCTGTCTAGGTGTAGGCGCCCTGGCAGTATCCCAGCCCTCGTACAACCATGACCTGCACAACTAACAATTTTTTCATGCCACATCGGCCGTCGCGTGGTGCCATCAGCCGGGTCGCCTTACTTGCTGCATACAGCAGGGCGGGTAAGCGAAAACATGCTACTGCTGACGCCTCCCTTCTTACACTTTCACGTTTTCCGTCTTCCACCCTCCCCCGCCCAAATTTGAATACTTTATCCGCAGGTCCCAGCTC